CAACTATACATTATTTATAATGATATATACATTATACTTTATACATATATATGATATACGAAATAATTTCTGGAAATTAAATTTTTTCTCTCTTACTTCCAGTTTGAAACAAGGAGAAATTTCTGTTACATTTATTTTCAATTTTGTTTTAAATTCTTAAATTGTTTAAATTTCTGCAACTTCATTATTGAGTTCGGAATGTTTATTATTCCTCTTTAAATTGTTGTGTTTTGTTTTTGTATTTTTGTTTCTCAGTACTAAAAGACAAAACGTCCGTATGACTAATAGCCAATAGGTACGAGCATATGGGATAAATTAGACTTGCCACTAGAATGAGGCCCATTTTCACCAAACTCTGTTTGTTAAATCTAAACGAGTCATTTACTAACGAACCTTGAATAAATATAATCGTCTGTTAAAATATTTACGTTCAATGATGAAATATTAACAACACATTATCATAATATGTCACGTTAAATGACCGACTACCAAATTATTCTTTCTTGTTATAAGACGACCAAATTGCTAAGGTGTTTGCTACGATACTTTATGCCTTGGTCGTATATATCCCTGGATACGGCAGTTAGCAAGTGCGACCAAATTTTATACATCGTTCATTGGATAGATTTTTCATATAATAAACTTTCTTTTCAGTTAACTAGCTGTAACCTGTCAAAATCGTGTCGTCAATAAATTGTGTTATATATATAAGCATAAATTATGTTCAAGTTATAAAAGATGAATCAATTCAAACCCCTCAATAAGACGTTATTTATTTAATTTTGATTGGTGAAACTGGCTCTTAAGCGTAAACTAACAATGAAATGTTTAATAGTCAAATTAATTATATAGTCGTATATCCGTTAATAATTGTAGTTTTGCATTTTATTAATACCGACTTCCTGAAATTTTGAGTTCTACGGAAAACAAAAAGTAACCAAGATTGGCTTAATTCAACTGTAATTAATAAGATTTTACGATCTCGACGAAATTCTTACTCTTTTTATTTAATTTTATTATTTACTAAAGAAAAACCTTAACGTTTTATTAAAAAATGACCGGAAATATGTTTAAATCTGAGAGCTTTGTCTGTTATGTATAGTAGTACTTAGATATCAATATCTGCTGCGATATAGTCTAAATAATATTCTACTAGAACGTTGAGACTAAACAGCCTGTAATTTTATTTGGTAAAGACAATTTATGTAAACAGGCAATGAAAATTATTTGTAATATTTAATTCATAATATAGAGAAATAATAAGTGTTATTCTGAGTGAGTTCACTCAAAAAAAGGCAGTGGAAAATACCGAAATTTGTTTTTATTCATATAATTTTATATCAATTATTTCTGTTATTCTATCTGTCGATGAATTGACACTAAATTATTAATAATATAGTGTCAAATTACACATTACACAAGATTTAGAGTACATATGATTATATTAATTAAAACTGGTAATAAAAGGAGGCAAACACAATAAGCTAATGTAATAAGAAAATAAAAATAGAATAATGAAATAGCAGCATAATTTTTATTATGTCTGTAAGTTAAATCAATTTCTTTGGCTTATACACGTGTAAAGGAGCTAAAAATAGCATATTTTTTATCAGAGGGTAACAAATAACTTTCTAGCCTCTTGTCAGCGGCTAGGGCTAAGTAAGTAAACCAACAGGTTGTGGAATAAATGATTTAAGAACGGTTACGATAAAAACCGACAATAATATATATGAAAGATTAAAGGTTATTGAACTTCTACTAACCTATCGACCTCTTTGACTTGTATGTAGCGTTTACCTCGAATTTCTGAGAAATAAAGGTAAGTACAAAGTTCAATATACAAGGTTTCGAAGTTCAGTAAATACAAACACATTATGTATATTTTCATAATACATGCTATCGTTCAACTTACTTTCCAACTACCTATAGTTTATTTTGTAGGACTTCCTTATTAATAAAATTAACTATATTTTATAATGTCTCAAAAACAGTTTGTACCCTATTATCTAGACGAATGTTAATGTCTAAAAGAATTCATGATTGTTCGCATTTAAATGAAACGATACCGCCATATTTAACCCTAGTCACTATTTTTAAATTTAACGAATCTCAAATCTCAATGACACTTTCATTTCACCTCCTCGTGACCACGATTAGTAAAAACAATTGACAAGTTGATTTGGAATCAATAGAGAATTCAATAAATGAGAGTATATACAATTACGTATAAAATCTACATTAAATAAAATTGAATATCCGTTTGGTTCAATATGATTATATTTTACGGGAATATGTAGACGTGTTTTCAATGTAGTTAATTCATACTTCTGTGCAAGAATAGCTAGAAATAAATTAAATGCTTTTTATTTTGTCTGAAAAAAAAAATTAAAATGTCAAATTGACACAAACAATTTGTGGACTACGAATGAAAACATGTGCTATGTACAAATCCGCTGCAAACCGATTCAACCAATTCACATTTCATGTTTAAGTAAGCAAAATAGTACGACCGCAATATGTATGAAATCCCCGCTACAGTCCGGATTTACTAAACTCCATCGCGTGCTTGTTATTCTATTTATTAAATTGAGGCGTTACTTGACCAAATATAAATCTATTTGGAACTTACAAACGGAGGACTTCAACAACTGCACTTTCAATAACGTTTCTATTATAAAAGTCCTTTTCTTGTTCATCGGTTATTTCAGTATTTTAATATTGAACCTAACTTGATAATTCTTAGCCAGAAAAAAACAGAACTAATTTTTATACATCACCCAAACAGCAATTTACATGCATATCAAGAAATCTTGATTCGTCTTATCTTTATGGGGCGATAAAAACAGGGAAAGAAACTCGCTGACTAACTTGAGGAAAAAATAAAATGAAGAGCATGACCTAACGACCGTCAAGGGATGTCATTAGCTGATGTCCACCGGCCCTCCACCTAAATTAGATCTCTTTTCACTATACCCATAAAAAGTACCTATATACACAGATACAATTCTATAAAAGATAAAAAACAATCGTCCGCAGCTTGTATAGTAACGAAATTTTTGTTTACAACGAAATTTTTGCTCCAAAATGTTTTGGCACAATTTCAAGAGTCATTGCGTCGGTCGGAAAAACTTTTAATTAGCTTTTCCCACTATCACTTCAGACTACTTGAATGTTTGAAGCATTATCGAAATAATAGCAGCTACTTACTAATATTATAAACTGTTTCTTTTTTATTTATTTTATAAAATCTTCTACCAATAGAAAATAGGTCTTACCTAAAGAAAGCAAATAATAATTTATTAAATGTAGTCTTATCTCTGTTAATTTACATACTCTGTTAATTTATATACATAGATAGATAATAATTAAAAGGTATTTGAAAGTATAATCAGCGATAACTTTAACGTTCACTCTTCCTATAAAAACATGAACCTACCGATATTAGTAACTGTTTACGTAATGAAACATATTGTAAACAAACTCCATCTTTATACATAATCTGATTCTGAAAAAAAAACGGAGAGTAGGCAATCAATAAATATTAAAAAGGGTTTTTAAAATATTTTATAAGGTATAAAGTAATTCATCAAGGATATATCATATTGTTTTTGTCACACGTTTTATAACACAACCACCCTTTTACATTTTGTTTTGTATAAGCTCCGTAAAATTTTACAAACTGTTTAACATATTCATGAAGATTAATTACCACATAAAATTTAAGATAACAATAATTCATTTACGTAGCTATTGTTAGAAACAATACCGTTCTGATCTATTCAGTAAGACGGAGATTAAGAGGTTTCAATTTCGCCACTAACCGGCTTGACCGACCGGTCAATGCAGGTCGCCTAAGTCTTTGTTCATTACTGCCCTTTGTTTAGCCGCCTTAATCCATTCTACTGCCTTATTGAATGGTTCATGATAAAAATTCTGTGTAAACCGATGTGTTTTACCAATATATTGATTATTTTTATCCAAATACTTTTGTTCCCACACCTTCGATATTTAAAATGTTAAAGTTAAGAAAATATGGTGAAATTGTTTTTTAACATTAATCCCTGACACGTAAAGAGGGCTGTTTTAAGTTTAATGTCCATATCTGTGTGTGGAAGTGGAAGCGTGATTATAAGTTTCATATGGGTTGTCAGATTTTGATTCTAGTTTTTTCATTTGAAAGCTACTTTTTTAAGGGTGGTTCTTAATTGTTTTGTCAATATCGGCTCAGCAATGTAAGATTATTATCGCTTTTCCAAAATTATGTAAATCATTTGTAGCGTACGCTTACTCGTTTAAGTATTTCACTCCTGTCAGTATAATCATTAAATGACAATAAGGTCACTGGGAATTTTTAAAACTTTACTGAAATTCATTTTTTCCTTATTACATTATCTCATTCGTGAATTCATAAAACAATCAGACAGACAATTGTTGCTATAAATAAAATTAAATTGCCAAAGATCACATGCATTCAATTTACTATATATATTATTTTTATTATAAATGCCACTAAAATTTATATTTATATAAACTAAAATCAAATTTAATCTGTTCTTTATATCTTTAAGTTTTGCTACATCCAGCGCCATCTATTGAAAACGTATTGAAACACTTTAAAAGGAAGTTAACTAGTCGACCTAGAGACTTTGGTTTGTTTGAGTGGGTATGTACTATGTCTACTGTCTACTTAAACTTATCTATATGTAATATTATACCAGCTGTTACATAAGACATTACCTTATGCATAACATTGCTTACATAAGGGATAATCAATAACAAATTTATTGATTTACTGAAATGTTAGGTGTATTGTATGGTTGTTTGTTGTTTTTGCATTGAAGAGACAAATGAGACACATTTTCCAGTAACACATATAGTTTATTGTGAAACATTTATTTAGAAAGATAAGAAATAGAGAAAGTTTGGTGCAAGAATTGGTATTGGGGCCCCAGGTTGCCTTAACCTAGTAAAGGAAAATTATTAAGAAAAAAGATCACAATTCACTGATCCGTCTTTTGTTCCTCATTTTGAGGGACATCACTTTTAAACTTCTTCGCCTGTGATGCTTCGGTATCATTACTACCGTCCTGCTCTTTACATATTTCATTTATATTGTATTTCTTAAACAAATAGTAATTGTCAACAACACTCAGCAGACAAATACCTTTAATTATCTCAACGATTATACAAAGACTGGGATTTTTTAAATCTGCTTTGTTTTCACCGTTTTTGAGGACAATCAGATCAGCCAACTCTTTTATTATCAAATCCCTGGATGCACTGCTGTTGAACCTTTTGTTGAAGATAACCGCAAAGGTTGAAGGTTTCTTGAGAAAATATTTGTCAATAAGTTTCTCGGCACTTTCCATTATATCGGGCAAGTTGGCTTTACATGTAGCCATTATAGGTAGTAGACGGAGGACATGCCGTGTCTTTTGGACTTTGGTTGCACACAAATCTTTTATTATGGCTGTGGTCAGTTCTTCTGGCGAGGGCAAATTAGTTTTAATGAAAATGCAATTTGAAGCCCCCGTTTCAACTACTTGGAAACGTTTGTGTTTTAAAGCTTTTTGGGAATCCCGTTTTAAAGAGTCAACTTCACGTTTCAGCATGTCTCCAATATCAGTCTCATTGTCCGATTCTGTTTCTGATCGCTCTTCAGGCTCCACAGACGGAGGTCTGTTCACTTCTTCACCATCTGGATACAACTTGCCGGCATACTCATTCAACAAATTATACATTTCCTTAACACAATCCTTTTCTCTGAAATTACATGTGCAAAAGAATCCTCTGAAGCCGGGTTCTAAGAAATATTTATTTCTCCGCTTGCGAAAGTAAAATTTTTTCTTCTTTCTGTTATCACCCATTGTATTAGACTGCCGACTACGCCCTTGCTCCAATAGTAATCCAAAGGATAGACTATGATATAACAATTATTACGTGAATTGAATTATGAAATCATAATAACACAACGAAGATACACCCATGCTATAACTAGATGTCATTGTGATTTTGAACATTGACAATGACAGAATAGTATATAGAATATAAAATTATTAAGTTACTACACTATTAAAATTATATCAAACTATATTTTGTCCTCAAAATAATTTTAATATTTTTCTTTTAAACAAAACAAGATATTCTTATCATTTCAAAGATTCAAAGCTAATTTTACTTCATTGTATGTTGCCTATCTTTTATAATTAAATATCCTACAGACCACAAATAAAATAAAATTGCATGTGTATGTATGCACATATTACTCAAAAAGAACAAGATAAGTATATATTGAACTGTACATTTTTTTACCTCAGAATCTGCTAGAGCAATACTTCTTTATTGCTTTTTTCCTAGACATTTATTTTATTCTAAATGGAATGAAATTGGAATTGTTCCAAAAAATATATACGTATTTTTATAAAAGGGCGGTGATTGACCCAAATTAATAATATTTATTTACACCAGTTGAGATATCAGAAACCACTATTATACTTTACCCGTTAGATGAAATATATGGCTCTTGTTCTGCTGAGGTTTTAATATGGTTTAGTTTGAATGTCATAAATTTTTTTTCACCAAGGATAATTGGTTCATGTTTATTTTTAATATGTAATGCTGATAATGATTAAATGATGAATTTTAGTCAACATGAAAATATACAACAATATTCAATAATAACCTCTCCACCATAATAAATATTGTAAACCTTTTCATTTTCTACATGTAGATTTTAGGAAACCATTTAATTTATACATTTGAAGAGATGAATAGGAGAATTAAAACTTCTAGGTCAATTTATGTTTATTTTATTTTTAAAATTATATTTACAGTACATTTTAAATTAATCCTAATATACACTATGTAACAAGAAAATCTAAATAAACACCTTACAAGTAAAAAATACTAAAACAATACTTTTAAGTCCTGAATTTGATATATATTTCATATGATATCATTGCATTGGATTTGCTTTATATATCGTGCTTGTCTTTTCTTCTTAAATTTCAAAACACACAATATTTAGTCTTCATAATAGTCTGCAAGTTTGTAACCACGGGTTTTTTAAGTTTCGGACAAACGGTCATTCTGAAATGATTAAAAATACATTTAAGTGTCAAAGATTAATTATCACGCAGTTATATGGAAATAAAAACAATAATGATGTAATAATTATTAATTATTACTCACACAGTGTTGTATTCTATGGATGATATTTTAATGTATTCAATGTAAATGCTAGATGACTTCAACAATCTCCATGTCATCGGGTTCAATATACTCGTTTCATATTTCCATTCAACAATCACTGAAACTGGCGGAAGACCCGTATCTTTGAAAGCAATTAATTTAGTTTCTATATCACCTGGCCGGTAATATTTTCTGAAAAAAAAACACAATTAGCATCAAAAAAGTTTTTATTCCATCACATTTTTTTCAAGTCAAAATAACGTCAATATTTCACACGTGATATAAATGTAACTAAAATAGCTTTCAAAATGTAAATAAAATCAAAAAAATTATAAACAAAAGATAATTCAGTTCCGTGTGTATAATAAATTTTAAAAATAATGTTATCATACAAATTAAAACGTAAATTATTCTCATTTGTTATTGATGTTTTTATCTTATAATTGGATGTTAAATTTAGTTGTTTAATTAATTTTATTACATAAAGCGTGACGCATAAATGACAAAAATAAGGGGAAATACGCACTTGTATTTATATAAAATAATGTTATATTATTAACACTTACTGTTCGTCATTCATAAGTTTATGGTCACTCTTATTATTATTTCTGTCTACAAGTGTAATTGATACTCGCCCTACATCTGGGCCGTGTATTCTGCTTTCAGTGCTATTTGACACCTTTATTGTTACTTCATAATGAACTCCTATACAAAGATAATAATTAGCATTATTGTCACTTAAAAGTATGATAAAAAAATTATTCTTCAATGAGATGTATAATAGACTAGCTTTTCGCCCGCAGCTTGGCCCGCGTGAAGTTCGTTTATATCGCGTTTCCAAGAGAACCTTTCAAAAGTCTGGGATAAAAACTATCTTATGTTCTTTCTCAAGGTCAACTCTATATCTGTACCAAATTTCATTAAAATCAGTTCAGTTGTTTAGGCGTGAAAGCGTAACAGACAGACAGAGTTACTTTCGCATGTATAATATTAGTAGGGAAGTAGGGATTGAACCGTAAAATTCTAATTAAAGAAAATAAGGTTATTCAATTTATGTTATACTCACTGCAAAATGGTTTAGTACTCCCGGTCATAGCATACAGAGCGATATTTGTATTGGTATCAACAAGTCCATTAGATTGTAACCGTTTGTAGAAACTCTGTGAGTGGAATCCGATCGGCACACAGATGTGTTTTTTGTCACATGTAGTGCAGTTTCCTTCAAGAAAAGCCTGTAAATATACATTTTTTATATGAATACATCTATTTCTTACTGCAATTAAAATTCTCATCGTACAAGTATTTAGAGTGAGGTGTGTTTAAAAATAGCATAGCCACAACTATAACCAAACCAATCATAAAAAAATATTATATTCTGTATTCAAGAGACATACACACACACGCATACGCATGCGCGAACGTACACACCTACACTAAAATTTTTGTATAAACTGAAAAAATTGTCGTTAATGGCTAAAAATCTCAAGATTATTTAATAATTTTTTTTTATTGAATCTAAACGAATAGTGTCCTATATCAGTGGATGTATAAACATAGTGTTAGTGTACAAAAAAAAAAAAAACAAACCTCATAGGATTTACACTGAATAGCCATAAAAGGGCATAAAGGTGCAACGCTCTCAGTGAACAATTCATAACTTCTTTCGTGATTACAGCTGACGTATTTAACCACTTGTGAGTACATGTCGTTGTCTATTCCCTGGTAAGGTTTGTCGTTCTTACAGCCGGGCTGAACTGAACCACCGTTTGGGAAGAAATCCACGTGACCTATTGGTTCTGATATACCGAAACCTGGAATATACATACATGATATTAATTAAATAGATTAGATATATTAGGATCTTTATTAGGTATTTTATTAGGATTAAGATTTCTCTTAATATTACAAAAAAGTTGGGAATGTATGAGATCTAAGACTTTTTGCAAGTAAATAGATTTAATATTTTCGGATTATTCGTCTGGCCGTGATCACGGTTGCTACAAAGTAATCGAAACGTCGGGAGTATGTAGTTATTTAAAATAATATATAAAGCGTTGTAATCCGAAAATATTAGTTTTTATTAAGATTTTTATGAATACACCGTAAAAAAAATGGGTCATAAGGATTTAAATGACAAAATACTGTAATTATGTCAGATTATTCGCCTAAACTACAGTATAGTATTTGGTAAAAAATCCCAGGAATTGAAAATGGTGATGATCAATTTTAAAACTTATTTTATATTTTGTAATATACCTGAAAAATACAGCGGCATGGCGTTGCTATGTATGATATCTACGTATTGAGCGTCCGATTTATCCAAACGAACCAACGTCACAGTATTACTGAAGTACGGCGCTGCGGGATCCAAACCAGTTATCCTTCCTAACTTTAGGTTAAATTTCTGGAAAGTAAAAAGAAATGGAATTAGTTTTAGTGTTAAGTAAGTCTCCGAATACAAGTGAATCATATGACAGAGATTAGAGATCAAAAACTACAAAAACTATTTATTATATTTTATGGAAATCTGTAGTATCTTGAACTAGTTTGCAATTTGCAAGAAAAATGCTACTCTTAATGTTGAAATATAGTAAGCAACAAATCAAAATATACAAAAACGCTTGAAAAGGATGTTAGATTCATTTGTTTATTTCCTCATTACGCATTAATATAATAAGCACAAAAAACGAACTTAATACTAAAATAAAGAAAAGAAAAGAAGTAGGTAAAGAAAAGAGCACTTAGGGTTGTGCAAATACATATAAATAAGTACAATGAAATTAATTAAGCAAAAAGATAATACCCTAAACATTTTTATCAACAGGTCCTATGGCTTATACGATTTAATAGAAATAGTATTTTGCTAAAATGTCTTTCGTCATATAAATTACTTCGTAAACTTTTATCTTGTATTTATATTATAAATGTTTTTACCTTTTGAAGAGCATGACCGCAGTACCCTCCTAAATGTGCGCCCAAAGAGTGCCCAATAAAATGGAAAGTGTCTAGATTTGACAATTGTAAGACATCCTGAAACAAATAGTTTGTTATTATCAAATTTTTCACAGAATTTAAACTATTTAGTGCAACTTACGTATATATTTTTTATCAGATGAGCTGTCATGGCGCCGACTAGTCTAATGTTAGCGACTGCTTGACCATAGGGAGGCTGCGAGCCACGTCTCCAATCAACAACGACAACAGTAGCTGCGTCATTGCCTTTAAGATTCAAAAGAGCATCTGCCATATGTTGTATCTAGAACATAATATTAACACGTAAATTTTCATTAAATTTTCAATATTAATACTTCTTTAAATATAATTACCCAAAGTTTATGCCCGCCTTCCAGGAATCCGTGTGATATAAAATAAAATGGACCAGAACTATCGAGATTTGCATTTTTTATCTTCGCCGTGTCATCTGCGTGTAATAGAACAGGTATTTTTCTGTTTCTTCTTGTAAATACAGCGTATCTGTTATACAATCATTAATTATAATCAATACATATTACATTTAATCGTAAATATTATGACAAACATCTGAATATACATTTATAAATGAATCGAAATGCAGCGATAATTTCATTCTTATATATCGACATAGCAACAGTCCCTTAGTACAAAGTACGCTCTACAATTTATTGGGGTCTATAGATAAAAAAGTTTGAAATAACACATTGTTATTGATAATACGTCACAGTTAACTAATGAGTAACTTATTTTGCCTCGGACTAAGATACACCGAGTCACGGACGAGCCCCCACAATTATCTCACTAATTAGTTACGATAAAATCTGTACTTTGAGCTATGCAATTGACTACCGATTTATATTGAATCGGAATATATGAATGCAGACTGATTTATCGCAAACGTTTTATGTCTTACTAAAGTTTTTTATTAAACTGTTTTAAATAAAAGATCAATATTCTTTTTTTTTTAGGGGAAACGAAAAATAAAATAACTTTTACAGTTTATGAATTACTTACTTCCAAATTCAAAAAAATATATATTATTATTATTCAAAGAAAATTCAGTTCATTGAGTTTGTTTGTTTATTAACCGAAGTGCATCAGTTAATTGACGTAAATAAGAATGCACTAATGAAAAAGGTCTTATCAATAAGTAAACACTTCTTATCTAATGACATCATTATTTTAAACGACACACCCCTTATTTGTTATTTATTTTCTATTCGTTTTATAACTAGAATTATAATGATTCTTTTTAATTGTGACGTATTATACTAAATATTTCCTTGTATGTAAATTTAATTTTGGAACAAAAAGTTTATACATTATTTTCGGATGGTAACATTTCCAACCTTTAAAAATACATATTAAGTTAAAAGTATGCTAATATTTAATTAATTCTATCTACACAGAACAATGTGTTATCTTGAAATCCGCAACCACAAGTAACCTAATCCTCGGTCATACACACCGATAAATCGGTCAAGCGCAATCCATACACACAATGTAGGTTCTGTATTAAGCTAATTTTAATTATTATTACTAACCGTCTTTTTAAAAATAATTTTGAGAGATATTTATTATTTTATTATGATTATTGTGTATCCTTACCTCACTCCTAAGCTTTCTGGTGACGCGGGGAAGTAATTGTCAGGACGATGTTCAGTCCATGGATACGCCTTCGAGAAACATCCGTACAAACCGTAACATCTTTCAATCTCAGCGTCCTCTTACATGCCAAATAATACACATAATACATATATAAAATTTAGAAAACATATTCATATATTTAAATATATGCTGGTGTAAAATAATTTTAATATGATATACTACAAGACTTGTCTTAGAAATATAAAAATAGGCTAAAATTATAAAAACTCACCAAGAAACGTAGATGGGAAATTAGTAACAGTGGAATTCTGTTTTTCCATCAACACCATTATAGTCTGTAGCATTAAAGTGGCGCTTGTTTTGTTATACATTTTTTTTTTAAACACAGTCGTAATCCGAACCAAACAGACAAAATGTTACCAACAGCCGGGCCGAGTGTATAATGAGGTGTTATATGTGAGTTTATTGTTTATATCAGACCTCTATCGTACTAATAGATCCGCATTGTAGTTCGCAGTAGCAGACGTTCCGGGATATTTGATAAGAGGGGTTACAACGTTATCATGTTTTGTAAGTGATTGACGCACGAGCTTTTGTAATTTTAATTAGGCATCATTTTAATTGTCTAGTCTAGGCGCCCCGGCAATACATTACCATTGACATGCGACAAATAATAGTTATATTTAGATAATGTATTTATAGATTCGTTTGATATTCACGTGTTATGGAATTAATATAGCCAATAGTAAGAGAATTTTATTTATATTATTATTAAATGTTATATATTTTGAAACAAAATCCATGTATGTATATAATTAATCTCTAGGACAAGATGTTTAAGGTTAATTGAAGACTATCAATGAATAAATATTTATATTATCATAGTGTACACTGTTTCATTAAAATTAAGTGGCCATTTATTATTTTTAATTAACTGAGATATTGTAAGTATTTCTAAAACAAATATATGTTAGTACTTAACATAAATTATTATAGTATTATATTAGAATTTAAAAAAAAAACTGAGATATCAATTTTAGTATGAGAGTTAATTACTTAAAATTATATGAAGTTAGATATATTTTTATTTGAATTTTAAAATAAATCTGTTTTAAATATGTATAAAAATATCCTTATACCATTATAGAGTATTTTAATGACCTGACGTTTTTAATAGTAAAGAATAATATGCTTTTTTTGGGGTTATACTTTGTTACAAACATCTTAGTAATAAATTCGGTTCAGTCTTTTAACTTTATTAAATGCTTCTGTACCCAAGTAAACACACAGTCTCAAAAAAATCAGATTCATGCAAAAAAATTACCACTAATCGTCATCACTAAACACTAATCAACATAATTTAATGCAAATATCCACAATAATGGATTCTAGTCAAAAAAAAATTGTATATTAATTCTAATAAATGCATACAAAATTCATATTAAAAGCACCTACGAATTGACTTTACGGCTCTTTGTTTTTGACGGTGTTGAGGAAAAATTACAATTGAAAGTTATATCTTCTGTTATGAAATCTGACATAGACATCGGGTCGTTTTTGTTTAAACGATCGAATTCATCAACATTCTCCTTTTCCTGTAATCTCGCTGCGTGGTAACGTGAATTCTTCTTAGTATCATATAACTGCATACTATCTGTGTCATTGAAACCACTGTCTACCCTCATCCAATTAACATTAGATATTTCCTTTAAAACCTGATTTTGTTTGGTGATCGTCAATTCTGAAGGCTTTATGGCACTTTCATAGTAACTGGAAGCGTTAGTATAAAACGTGTTTTCATTGAATCCACTATCGACTCTCTTGAATATTGAACTCTCTGTTCTATTACTATCGAATTGTGAATTTTCAGTAAGAAGCTTCAGATCGACCGTGTTGAAATCGATTTTCTTTTCCTCCATACTGAGCGGAATGTCGAAATTATCTAAACTATTATCTAGAGACATATGCAAGGGACTGAGCATTACTTGTCCCCGTATTTTGCTAATTTCGTGTGTTAGAACACTAGTCTTATGTTTACCCTTTATGGGAGTATCATCTAACAAATTAACGCTAAATAACTTAGTGGAAGACTGTACTTCGTGTGACTCCTTATGTGTTGCCTTGGTATAATTAAAGTTTGAATCTTCTACTATAGACCATGACGCTTTAGTCTTTGGTGAACTCTCTGAAATAATAAATTGATATTAGACAAGAACACAACATTGTTACAGTTTTAACATCTATATATTTAGGCTAAGTTTGCATCCTTACGTTACATAAATCTACTCTCCTTACTATATCAACGTCAGTTTTGAATGAGAAACTCCAAAGTAGTATTATTACGATGCAAACTTATACGAAGCATAATCATTAGTTCAAAGTATGTCGTATGTTTAATTTTTTTCATTAAATACTTTACTAACTTTATTGAAAACCTTATATTTTTATCCTTAACATATAATTAATGTGATTTCAATTATGTTTCTGTTGTAAAATTTATTACCGCACTTTTTTGTTCCATCAAAGCGTGTAATGTGTCCGTAAAGTAAAACAAAACAAATAAAAAAAGTGTGTACCTATTAAATATATGTATATCACTCATTGTAACTTTAAGGGCAGTTGAACAATCAAGCAATATGAATACTGTTTTATTACAGGTTTGATTCTAATAAACCAACAAATATATATATGTATGTGTGTGTTATAAAAAGTTGACTATAGACTTTTACTTAACACTTATGTATTGACATCCGACGCTAGGAATTTCACAACATATTCTCGGGTGTCAATTATAGCTTAGTAAGTTATAATCACCTAACTATACGAATTTCATATTCCGGAAAGCTTAGTAGTTTAATTATATTATTATATAAATTTGTAATAAGAAATATCTCAAGCTATTTATTTGTTCTTTTGTAATAAAAAAAAGTATTAATGTGTGAGCAAATAATTCAAAAAAGATACTTTTATTACTTATAATATTACAAACATATAATATTTATAAATCATCGGGAATAGTGTAAAACCGCGTAGCTATCGTTGTATAATTCTGCATATCTGCATTGGAAGCAGATTATCAGAAGAATGTTAGGGCTGAAATGTTTTCTAAATTAACGACGAAATTTTAAGCAATTAGTAATGATTATTGTTTAATTTATTACTAATTGAGAAAAATTTAGCTTACAAGTCGTTAATTTTATAGAAAATATTTCAGCTTAAACCTTCTTCTGATAATCTGCTTCCAATGCAGATACGCGGAAATATCGAACGGTAGGTACGCATTTTATCACTAATCTACTATCACATAATTTAATAAATTACCTTGAGATTTATCATGTACGGAACCATCGATACTCATGTCCATACTGAAGTCTAGTTTTTGCACCGAGCGACTTCTATTCAGACTTGACATACTAAGACTTCGTTTCTCTGATAAGGAACCCTTTCTATTCCTATGAGGCGAGTCTTTCAATGAGGTGCTTCGTTTGAGTATTATCTTTGTTGGAGTTATACAGAAACAATTCGACTTCCTATCGATTTCCGTTTCAGATTCAATACAGCTGAGACAAGTCGCCATAGCTTCTGATTCGGGTGACGTGAAATTGTTCTTCTGAAATTTAATTGCAATTAATAAATGTTATTCATAATTGAGTATCATCCTACTAATATTATAATAGCGAAAGTTTGTGAGTGTGTGTGTATGTTTGTTACTTCACGCTCAAACGTCTGAAGCGATTTTGATAAAATTTTGTATACAGGAAGCTGACTTCCAGGAATAACACAGGCTACTTTACATTCCGAAAATCTGCGGGTGACACCGCGGGACGCAGCTAGTCTTTAAAGAATTTTAAGCTATATACCTCGTCATCACTCGAAAGAGTCTTCGGTATGGGTGATACAGATGCCAGTGAGGACGTCGTTACACAACGCTTTGGAGTACGGAATTCTATGGGACTTAAACAGAAATCCACAACATCCAATATCTTGTTGCGGTAAGACGGTTTGTTCTGACCCTTACATAGAGGCGTGCCGAATGTCCTCTTCATCCCTTTCAATGCTTGGTTACAACTCTGCCAAAATTAAGTAAGAAAAATAGTTATTATCACTAGGAATAGGCTATCGAATATAGAAATTAGACTGGATATGAAAAATAGATCAAAGAAGTTAAGATCTACCCACATTTAAAAAGTATGGAAGATATTTAAGATGTATCTTAAATGTAATGATAAGTATGTATACTTATCATAAAATATAGAAAAATATAGCTGATCATGCAGCAATCAAAGAAAAGTATAAAAGTATATATTTTTAACCACTGAAGACAATATTAGCTTAATAGAAAATGCAATTTATTATATAAATAAATCAAAATTAATCTATGATGGTGCTTTATAGATTCATTTACATTTTATCAATTCCCTTTACTGCTATACATTAAATACTAAAAAATAAACAGTGTTTTTAATAGCTTTAATAAAAAAAAATTATTTATATCTAATATTATTATATAAATGGCTAGTTTTTCAGTATGATTATGGGTGCTTACTAATCTCAAGAATTAAAAAAAAATCACAACCAAACTGACTAGATCATCAATCTGAAAAATGCTTATATGGGGAAAAATAGGATTTATAGTAGCTTCTGTTACATTAAGGTATAAATACCATACAACTTAAATTAACAGTAAATATATCATATACATATAAATTACCAATTTCAAAACTACAGCTGATTAAAAATATTATTACCTACTGCATATTTCACCGAAAAAGTCAAACCACGATATTTTACCTAACATTCTTATTTCTCTCATCTGAAATATATTATATTTTACCCAGTTATAATAGTAAAAATTTACACAGAAACTTATAACATTGCAAACTTCTATATAAGTACCCTCAATCTTTCTGTCTCCAAGTAATTTCAGACAACTAAACATAGAAATATTGAATCATTAAAAATCTATTATTAAGTGAACTTAGCGAAACACTATACTGGTCATTCATAAACGAAGATGATCTCGGCAACCGAAAATTTGAACGAGGCATGGTTTTCTTGGTCCAGTTATTTGGCGTGGATGTTAGAAAAAAAAAATTGTTAAGAGAAGAAACCTCTCAGTATTCCATGGATTCACTGTGCGGGTGCCGGTCCATCGCGGTACAGGGAGATGAGCTTCAACAGTGCCTGGGACTTGCGACCCAGATGTAGATTTAAGGAATCCCTATCTAACGCGCATTAAACGCTCAACTCCACTATCCAAGCTCCTCTCTCTACCTAACCAAATTCGAAAAGAACCTACTAGGGCTACCTTCGCAGTACGTTCGAAGTATGAATTAATGTGAGTTCTAGAAAGGCCCAAATCTTTTAGTAAGTTGTAGAGATACACTTCTACCGCGTACAAATCCACGACGAACCTATTTCGAATGAGTTCGTAATATTTATTGACCTTGATAATTTTTTTTAACCTATCAGAGCCCACTGCTGAGCAAGGCCTCTTTCTCTCATGAAGAAGGTTTGATCATTAATCACCAAGCTTGCTCAAGACGGGTTGGTGATTTCAAACTTATAATTGTGAAATTATAAGTCCAGGTTTCCTCACGATGTTTTCCTTCACCGTCTGTCAGTGGTGTCTAAATACTCTTAGAAAGTACATATGACTCGGAAAAATCACATTCACACTTGCCAGGATCGGCTCGCCCTCGGCAACAAGAGGCGGGTTCTTTAACCACTAGGCCACCACTGACTTGATTATTATTTAATTTAATTTAGGGGCCGAAAAATGAAACCTATATCCTAATAAACGAGTTTTGTACCAAAACACTAATGTTGCTTCACTGAAATCGAATCAATAGCTTAAATTTCTAGCAAAGCGAGAAAAATACTAAGGTGTAACTCATGTTAAAAAGCCTATTATTATTATTTTAAATAATTGAAACGTCATTTGTACTAACAAAATAAAATGTTTATAATTATAAAACTTATAAAACCAAAAAACAAAAGTTCATACACTATATCATATCCACCAATGAAATATAACTGCATAAATACTGTTTTACTTTGCGAAAAGTTTCACCCATCTGCCATTACCTAATAATACAAACTAAAAAATAAGACAAGGTTATTGAACTCACTAAATTTGGGCTAATTGTGACCGGTGTGTGAGCTTCATAGCTGGATGAAGGACGAGCCTCTACATGAATCTCGTCATCAGTTTGCTCGGAATCATAATGATCACTATTTTCTATATCACGCTCCTCGAAAAACAACTTCCTTCTTAAAGAACCATTTGCTGTCACCTCATACTCATCAAATATATTCTGACTTTGATCCTGAAATTATTGTGTTTGAAGATTATTTTAAAATACAAATAATGAGGTATAAAAGATGTGGGTATATATATATACAGGGTGACTGGTGAATTACTATCGATATTTGAGGACGTGATATTTGACGATCATATATGACAAAATAAAAATTAATATAACATAAATATTAATAAACTTCTAAGTAAAGTTAACCAAAACTTATGTAATTAATTACGCATCGTATGAACACCCTACAGATTAGGTATACACACACACACACACACTCACGCGCGGCGGCGTGTTGTTGTATCAGCACGCCGCCGCACGCGTCCACACTTGGAACGTGTACACACTTTATTTATTTATACGGAAATTTGGTCAAAAATTAAGTACCTATTTTTTTTACGTAATTCGAATGAGAATCATGTACCGAGTATGCTCCTTAAATATTGATAGTAATTCACCAGTCACCCTGTATAATTGAAGCATTGAATTGTCATATGTGTAGTAAAAAAAATATATTGCTAAATTAACAAGTAATATTCTGATATTTATGAAAAATAGGTTTTAAAAATTATGAATAACATAAAATAATCAATTCAACAAACAATTGATGTATATTATAAGATTAACTTGCTAATCAATAGTGTTATTTCATAAAGTATTACTTAATTAGAACATATGCAAATATATTACCTGAGTATATGTGTAATATGTTTTCAATAAATTTTCTAATTCTGGTGGCAGTTTAGGTGGTAATGTAAGTATGGTTTGAGCTGAAACTAAATATATAAGACAAGTATTAATAAAAGTATCATATTTAGGTTTTTTTTGCAATATCTGATGATTTACTCAAGATATTTAACTTAAAAATAAAATATGGTTTCACTGGTTTGTATTAGTTTTTTATATAGAAAACAAACAATCAAGTAAGTGGTATATTTACCACTTATCATCAAATCAAAGTCAGTCATCACAAGTATTTTCGGGATGACCTTAAATTATATAAATATGTTACTTACCATCTCTAGTAACTATGGATTCCTTTATTGAAGTGTTGATTTGGATGCTTGTCTCAAGGGATGTTTGAAGAGGTATCACTTTCTTAGATGTCTCCATAGGGCTTGGCATGACCATTTCTTGGGAAAAAAATCTAAAAGCACATCATATATTTATAAACTGACAGAAAATTGCCACGAAACTGTTAGTACAAAATAAGATGAATGGAAAATTATACTACTACTTTTAGAACATCACAATTATATGCTATATTTGAATATAAAATTTATAAATATTTACTTTTCGTTAGCCTCCTCAGCGATCTTTTCCAGTGCTACATCGGGTGACGGTTCGAACTGACTATTGCAAGCAACAATATCCGCTGGCACCAAAACACAGGCTTGATCTATATCCCATCGAAAAGAACCTCTGTTCTTTTTTTTGTAAATTTTACACATACCTGGACTATAATGATATTCGGTTTAAATTATGTTTGAAAAAAAAATAACACAAATTCAAAAAATAACAGTTACACAAACCTGCATATGGGTTTATGCAATTTCTCAATTAACACTTTATCGAAAGGATTACGGATCTTGCCTTTAGTTGGCGGCGTAGCTTTTCTGTTATTTGGACTATCATTTTTATTACTCATTTCGAAACTACCGTGTTATTTCCAAATCAAAGCACCCATTCGGATTAAAATTTTGACTAGATCACAAATAGACAACACTAAATTTAAATTTGCTTACACTGACCACAGTCCACAGGGTATATTATTTTTGGTCTTGCCATTGCAAATTAATTTCACTTTAACAGAAACATATTGAATTTCCTTCCATAGATTAACATATATATTATGTATTATATTGCAGCATTCTAAACGAATTAATATGTTACATTTGTAATCAAGAAAACTATGATTCTTATTAGTTTAAAAGAGTCATAACTGTGTGCCTTTTTTTTTCAAAAATTCTCTTACTTTATACATGGTGACTGGTGAATTGCTATCGATATTTGAGGACGTGATATTTGACGATCATATATGACAAAATAAAAATTAATATAACATAAATATTAATAAACTTCTAAGTAAAGTTAACCAAAAGTTATGTAATTAATTACGCATCGTATGAACACCCTACAGATTAGGTATACACAAACACACACACACTCGCGCGGCGGCGTGTGTTGTATCAGCACGCCGCCGCACGCGTCCACACTTGGAACACTTGGAACGTGTACACACTTTATTTATTTATACTGAAATTTGGTAAAAAATTAAGTACTTATCTATTTTTTTTACATAATTCGAATGAGAATCATGTACTGAGTATGCTCCTTAAATATTGATAGTAATTCACCAGTCACCCTGTATATAAATATTAGTTCTGAATGTATGTGCTTATGTATGTATTGTAATAATTTCATAAGTAATATATATATTTTTTATTTTTTGCCATATATACTTATATTTATATTAGATAAAATTTTAAGACCACAAGCGAAATTTTCTTTCTATTATTATTGAGCTCGAATATATAGTTTCGGAATTTTTAGAAAGGTAAAGATGCACCAAAAACTTGCCTTAAAACAAATAAATCCACAGAGAGAAAAATAAAGTTGTATTATACTTAAACTCCCTAAATATAACATCATTATACTTTGTTGTAAGTGCACAGATTTTAGAATTGATAGACATCAGGTTGACTTATGACATAAATCATAAGTGACATTTGAGTTTTATATTTCGTGCATATTTTTGAATTAACAGTTACTATCTTTGTAAGGTTATCAAAAAACTCATATTACATATAGATATCAGACAGTTTTAGTGACAAAAATGGAAAATGTATTCGTATTAACGAAGTTCAGTAATACTAGTGATTACTATTTTATTTGTATAATTGGAAATACCCATTAAGATTTAAAAAAATATCTGTTGCCTTAGCGCACTTTACAGAGACTGGACTTGAATAAATTTTAAATAGAATATATAGAAAATGGATGATAAAGACATAAGCTATGAGCCAATGGATATAGATTTAAGCTCTAATTCTGTAAGTGCAATGGATATATCATATACGGAACCTTTATTTGATTATTCAAAAGTTACTATAAAGCAGGAAAAGGATGTGGATATATGTGACAATATTTGCCGATCTCCATCACCAGTACAAATAAATGATATTTTAAGTACACAATTAGTCACAGTCCCTAAGATTTGTAATGAAACTAGAACATCAAATTATAAAACTAAATGGATATCGTGTTTTACAGTGCTGTTACTCTCGTTTCTAACATTTAAATTTTCCACATTTAAATGTTGTGATGATTTTCAATTACAGTCATTTAAAACTATACTACAGTCTAGATTGTATGGTCAGCCGGCAGCCATCGATTCTCTTATTAAGGCCTTAGAACCAAATGTTAGTAAAATGTTAATATTGTACGGTGGGACAGGAGTTGGAAAAACCATGACGGCTTCATTATTATTGGAAAAAAAATTAGATTATAGCAACATTTATCACTATACTATGCCAAGTTTTTTACAAACATTTTCAACCGAGTTCATGATCGGACATACATTTTGTAAATCAACATTGGTGGTCTTGGATGACGTCCAATTTAATGACATACATATACTTGAAGAACATCTTAAAGAACTAATTGATAAAAGCAATAAACTCTCCAAAGTTATAACTTTAATACTTATATATAACTGTGACGAAAACATTAACCAATATGTGAACAAATGTGATAATTTTTTACTAGAACTAAGAAAGAATTTCTACAACATTAATATTGATAAACACTATATTAAATTTAATCCTTTGAATGAAGAACATTTGAAGAAATGTATTTTTAATGATCTTCCCAACAAAACAGTTAATGAAGACGATTTGAATAAAATTGTTAAATACTTTGATGTGAAATTGGATGGCTGTAAAGGTGTATATCAGAAAATGAAATATTTAAATATAGTTTAGTTAAAAGTCTAGTTTTAAAATGACTTTGTGTAAATTTTTCATTGTATAGTATTTAATAAATGGGTTGATAATTTTATATCTTTGTGTTAACTAATCTAATCATGATGTGATTTTTTAATAAACATTTTGAAACATCAATCACTGTTTAATTAATTATTAGTAGTTTTTTATAATTCATTGGTTAATTATATATCTAATTATTTACATTACTTTATTTTATGAAACAATCATGGGTATAATTGAGAATTATTTGTGTTACAATTTATTTCTTCAAAAATTCTAAAGTAAATGAATGAAACTTAATGTAATATGTTGTAGGTGAAAATTAAAATTACTTATGTGTAGATCAAAAAAACTTTATTTTAGAGAATGTTACATGATAATCGGCAATGCAGAGGTTTAAGAAATTATGTCAAATAGAAATATACTGACAAATGTGGAATACTCCTACAATTTTACATTTCAAATTTATGCTACAACAAACTTCACCATCATAATAAATAGCAAATTGTAATGTTATGAGTTTAGTGGTGCATCAAAGTAGGAAATACTTTTTTTTTAAATCCTAAATATGACACAAAACAATTTCAGCATAAGTAGGCAGGGGTGCAATATTAATTCAAACTAAATATCCCTATTCACTCATTTTAAGTACAGTGTCACTCTAATAATAATTTTGTTAAATCATACTTGATCATAGCACTCAATTAAGTACATTGCACACAAGTTAGCTGGTTTTTTTAATCTAAAGAAATTGAGAAACTATTATTATTTTTCAATAAAATGAAATGGCATATTGCACTGCACCCTCAATACTTATATGTCTAAACCAGAATCACAAAGCACACCAAGTTAATGAGTGATTCTTTTATAATAATACAATAGTATTAATAATAATTAAATGTGCATTACATCATAACTTGTAGTAATGAACTGTAAGTACATATTTCTCATCAAAAACCTAATACACTAGTATTTTGTTACAATAATTCAGCCAATAGACAAACATTTATTTATTAAATATTCGAAAAAGCCCCCCTAAACATTAAAGCCAGTAGGTTAGTGCATGCAATCAGGAAAAAGTGCTAATACAAGAAATGGAGAGCTGTCTTTTAAATTGTTATATTTTTGAAAAAAAGTTTGCAAGGTTATTGATATTTCATGGAACACTGAGGGAAGACAAACATATATTTAATTATTGATACTTAAGAGTTTTGTACATTTAGTATGTTCAGAATACTGAGTTTTTATTCATATTTGTGCATTTATGTGGGACAATTTCCATATTGAAGTCTTTCAACCAATAGCCATTTCAATATACACTAAATTATTGTTTCTTTATGGTTAGGATAAGCTTATTCAAAGTATTCAATATTACTATAGGTATTCATTATAAAGATTTTATTTATGTTAGTAACAAACAAAACTTAACAAGTATATGACTTTTGAAATATTTATTTTAATATAAGTAATAAATTTTTCATTAGTGCAATTACACATTAAATACAGTTACAAACCATTTATTAGTGAGATAGTCCTATGAAGTAGCAGGATAATTTGGCCTGAACACTATTATTCTTAAGAATAATTTCATAAATGAAACTAATTTGCATTTATGAGGAACAATAAAACATAAAATATAAGGTTCTAATTAAATTTACCTTGTGATGACACATAATAGCAGTTCCAGCATTAAATAATATTAGCACTTGAATAAAATATATATAAACAGAACAAATTTAACATTTAACATAAATGAGAGCAAATAACTATTAATAAAATATACAATGTAAACTAAAGTAGTGTATAATAATATATTTTTGTTGATAATTTGGAACATTCAATGTGCAAAATCATATGATAACATTTAGGTAGGTATTTACACATAGGTTCCATTTAAGTATTGTATAAGTTTCCAAATTAACTCACAACATTGATTAAATACTAAATATGCGTAACAATAAAGACTAGAATACATTTTCATTTTTTCACAGTTATTGGCACTAAATTTAATGATAATGGCACAACTATGTACTCTGCATTCAATTAAAAGACCACTATAATCATGATCTACAGTGTAAACATGTATATTATAATGTAACAATTCCAATTTTGAAGTTAGCACATACAAATATATTAATTAGGTTCTTCTAACTATGCCATTTACGAAATTGTAAAAACATTGGTAAATGTCTTTTATATCTAATTTATTACTAGAAAATACTGAGTGTTCACAGGCTCACATAAGCACACTTCATAAGCAGAACTGTGCAGAATATCTGTCCTACTTAAACAACTCTCATAATCTACTATTATTTTTACCAAGATCTTTTCAGTCCTATATCTTGCACAGTCATCACTTTAGAATTGTTAACTCCGACATGTTTATCAGTATGATATGATAAATAAAGCCATCAGATAGCAAGGTCAACGAATCTTAATATATGCAACACATTATACAAAAATAATAAAGAACAATTGAAAAGTAAAAAAGTATTGAATATCATTTAACTTTAAAAGCAAAGCACAACAATGTAATTTTTTAAATCTAAAATTGACCAAATTGATATAATTTACTTAAAACATTATTACCTCATAAACAAATTTAATACTTACTTAGTACTGGAAAAAAGTGTTAAAGTAGTATATTTTAATAATAATAAGAATTTTTAAAAGACCATACTTCTCTTTAAAGTTGGATGTGTAGTGCCAATAACTGCATTATTATTTACTTATAACTTACTAGCTAGGCATTCAAAAACAAAATTGAACACCATTATTAAGCACGACAAAACATTTATAGTTAAAAATTTAGAGAGACTTTTAGAAATGTGCTAATAACTCTATATATTTTGAAAAAATCTGTAGATCTTTAAGGTACTTATGTTTCAGTTTTATAACTATCAGATCTGCTAGTACTTTGGACTTGTTTATAAACAATTTGATTTAAATTTGTGGCCTATTCATTCAAGGCAGAGATCAATCAACTGTAATATATACTAATATAACTAGCAATAAGCATGGTTTGATATTTCACAGGTATCACATTTTGCCAAAACAGAATTTTGGGACCATTGACTATTACAGAATAAGAAATAGCATTTAAATTGCTTACATACTGATTGATTATAACCTATATTAAATATATCATAATTCTTTGAGATTACAAAGAATTACTAGTAAAATTCGTGTAATTTTATAGCAGAATTAGAATAATAGATTCTTAATACATTTGATAGCCAAGGAATTTTAACTTTGAGGTCTCAAATTATTCATGAAATGTTATTATAGTTTTAATAACATCACCATTACATATATTTCGAGTTTTGAGACCAAACTCATTTGGCTGTGGAAGGCCGCTGAAAGTAGGGTCTAGTTAGGAGCGATGAAAATGAACAGCAGTCCATTTGTTGTAGCGTTTGTGCCAAATACGGGTCTCTTGTGTCTGGCTGGTGGAACGACGACCCTCTGCATCTACACTTTGTGTAACACATACATATGCAATTATAGCTACGTCATCACCAAGTAAGTGCACTCTTGGATTGAGAATCGTAGTATTGGTTTTCACATGCGTTGGTGTATTATCGATGAAAAACTTGTGAAATTCCACGCCCTCTATCAAGTTACCTAGAGCGTCAGGGTCGAAGGATGTGACATTCGGATCACAGAGTTTGGAATAGGTCTCATAGTCGCCATTATTAATAGCATCTATCAGAATTTCAGTAACTTTGATAACTTCGGCACGGCGAAGGGAGGCGTTACTATCACCTCGAGCTTTTCCAAACGAATCGGCTTTAGACAGACCGTCTTCATCATGTTCTTTAGATATAACTGTACACGCTCTATCTACGCCTTTCTTGTCCTTATCCAAATCATCGTCTTCCAAAGTAGTGCTACTATCTGTGGATTCTTTTACTTGTGATCCTTCACTTTTCTTGTTAACCATGGACTTGCCCGAAAAGTTTCGTGTAGCAAGCATAGTTGTTAGGATCGCACCTTTTAGTTTGCGACGTGCGTTGAATTTCTTTAAGCAATCCACAGTCTCCTGTCTGTGCATAACAGATGCAACACGCTCGCGGTGGCAAATCCATGGGTGCTTCAGGGCTTCGGAAGCCGTAATTCTTTTGCTGGGATTGACAGTCAGCATCTGATTGATGAGACTTTTAGCTTCTGGTGTTACAGTGTCCCATTCAGGTGATGGGTAATCATAAGCACCAGCCTTAATTTGGCCGTATAAACGATGTTGATCTTCATCCCAAAATGGGGGATATCCAACTAGCAGGATGTATAAAATTACACCACAAGCCCAAATATCTACGGGCTTGCCATAAGGCTCTTTCTTTAAAACCTCCGGTGATAAGTATCCTGGAGTACCAGCAAAGCCGAACCATGCTTGTTGTTCACCTTGGACTTCAATTGCTAATCCAAAATCCGCTAATTTGACTGCAGCGCCTTTAGCCTTGCTTGCAAGTAATAAATTTTCTGGCTTTAAATCTCTATGAACAACACCATTATGATGGCAATGATGTACAGATTCCAATATTTGTTGGATACAGTGGGATGCGTCGGCTTCCGAATAAAATTCTCTCGCAACAATATCCTCGAATAATTCACCGCCCGTAACTAAGTCAAATACGAGGTAGTGGAAGTGTTCTTCCTGAATTGAATCATGTAATCTAACAATATTAGGATGTTGTAATTTTCGGCAAATTCGGGCTTCCCTTTCCAATTTTTGGAAATCTCTGGCTGAAAGCTTCTTGGTATTGATTATTTTGGCAGCAAATTCATATCCAGTCGATTTTTGGACAGCGCGTCTCACAATAGAAAATGCTCCCTTTCCTAATTCTTCCTTAAGGTCGTAATTGTCCGAGAATCGTGTACTAACACTTTCACGATTTGGATTGGCCATGTTTAATTCAATAAGCTAAATTTACCTGACTCGAGTGGTCAACACTGTCTTCAAATTTGAAGAACACGTTAATCTTCTATTCTGCTTCAGAACTGAAACAAATTAAGTATATTATTAGGTTTTTTATAAAAAAAAATGGGTTGTTGATTAACTACGATATTATTTTTTATAACTTTAAATTAAATAAAATGTTATGGAGAATACTTTTAGAGATTTTGAATTGAGAACAGTTTTTTATTTGTGAAATGATAAGATATTTTATCGTACGCCATTTGCCAAGTTTGATTTCAATATTTTTTTATGGATGATTCGAAACATGAATGAAATATTACAGACTCTTATACAAGGTACAAAATAAAATGTGAATCAATCTATTATAAGAATCATTTATGTGATTACCGTAATTTTTGTTACAGTAAATAATTAAAATAGGTCTACATGAAATATCCTACTTATAGTGGATGCCGGTAAAATTAAAATTGGTGAGTTCGTATAAAAAAAGCGTAATGATTTATTAACAGCATCTGTTTTTCAAAAGATATGAATTATGGAATTGAAGATTTGATTATACTGTGCACTGATTTAGTAGTCATATTAAATGAACATTTGAATAATATTAACAGGCTATTTTAGTCGTCAAAGCTAAAAACGCAGACATGCCTAGACAAAAGTTATCATGATCACAAACATAGACTTCTAATATTAACACTACGGTACCGGGATGACATTTCGTTAGCGCAAAATAATCGATACACCATTGTCTCACACATTCAGTAAAATCTTTACGACTGAATAAACAATTTAATTTAATTTTAAATACTCTACCGATCGTGACAATAATATATTTTTTACCCATTTCACATTGAAAAAATAATAAGCATTTTATATTAGGTTGATCAGTGCGCAACTTTTGACGATATTCTTAGCAATTGAAATTTGTGCTCGCGATGTATTTTTAATGTTAAATATGTCGTCGTGCAAATCTACGTAATAATTATGTAAAGACGCTTAATGATATTCAAAAACTTATTTACCTATTATGTTCCCATTTTACACAGTATAAACGGGATGAAGACCGAAAACTAAGGGCCTAGCCCTACACCGCACTCTCCTTCTGCTCGGAACACGAGCTTCGGGGTCAAACTCATAGACATTTGTGTGTTGCCACATAAATGTTACCTTAAGAATAAAAATGGGGTTTATTTATTTAGACCTTAATATTGATTTCTCTTTCAGCAGGAAGATGTAGAATAGAATATTAATGCTAAACAAATTACAGAAACAATATTTAATCAAGGAATAATTACGTTTTTATATTTTGTTTAAGTCCTTTTTTGCATATGTCAACACAGAAGTGGACATAAAATCGATACACTAGCGCAGCGCTGTACCGAAGATGTAAAAATCTGAAACAGCGCCATCTAACGAAATAATTTTGCCTTGTTACGTATGTTTTATTATTATTATACTTGAAGAATACTTTAATGTCATTGTCGATATATGCAAAGCAGATTCATTTTATATTTTATCAAAGTAATTCTAAGTGATACACTTGCTCACTGTAAAACCAACATTTGGAAATACGAAATACGAAGACAAATAAATTCCTAATATATTATATTAGACTGTAAACTGTTTATTCGATTGTTTTCATAATTTTTATTTATAATTTTTAGATGATCTAGTTTCATATTGTGTTTTTAATTTTTATACTTATTAATAATTGCTGAAACTTAAAATTACATATTATAAAATATTAAAATCTTAATAAGATCGAATATTTTATAAAAGCGATTTTATTTTCAAAGTAACCCAAATATTCATTAAAATGGCACTAAATACATTCTACTAGATTGTACATAATGGCGTCCAATTATATTGCCTATAGATTAAATATGTAAATAGGCATATAATTTATTTATAATGGTTTTTATGTAATGAATAAAAGTTTGTTAATTATGTCTTACTAATTGGAACCTATTTTCAATTAATTAAAATGATTATTCAATTTATTTTGTTTGAGGTAAAGATAAGTACTGTTTAGAGGTGGGATTAAATTGAGGATACTCAGCAAAGACAAACATTACCCAATATAAAGCGTTGCCAAGGGTATCGGGAATTAGGTGTTCTTCATATAATTACATGTGTCTATGTATAAGCATTTAGCATATTCTATATGTTGATATGTTTTTTTAAATATTGATTAAAAAATGAAACAAGAAATCTCATTTTTGTTCTGTCAATAAGCCTAGTAACGGTCTGGTCTTATAAAAAGCAACCGTTAAACACCCAGTTATATTCACAAAAATCAAAACGGGTTGGCATCTTGCGCAAGTGTAGGGGGGCTAAACAAGGGCTTTCGCAGCGGGCCCTTCCGAATTTCGACGGTGCACAATGCACCCTCCGTACCATCCCCACGCCACTTCTCTTATTATTACGCGACTCCAGTTCATGTCCCCACATTGTTCATATTATTTTTATATTGGTACTCGCTGGACGTGTTGCTTAAAATCTATATCCCAAAACTATAACCAGTTTTTGGGACGTACACGTGGTTATTATACGATTCAAGAAGCGAAAGAACTGTGCGAAATCTCAAAGGTATTCGATCGGATCCTGAATCGTTCTGTCACCTAATATTTGCAGCGAAGGGAAGTATTAAGGTTTCGTAGGCTGTGGTCGTCTCATGTTGCTTTTCTCATGAGTGGACGTGTAAAATAATAACTTGATAGCAATATGTGGTAACGGCCGCAGTTGAACGACGTTTCTGAGTACACCGTCCGCTGTTCTGTGCAACGTAAAGCTATATCGATCGACGACTGACCCGGTGTGTGCTATGTGGTGATCGCTTCGATTTGGCGGGAGACGACGCTACGCATTTCTAACAAATAAATTCGGTAAGACAACTTTTTATCTTTAAACGGCTTTAACTATGATATTTTAAATTACAATCGTCTAAATTATATATGTAAATATATGTATAGTCTATGTCTGAAATGAAAATACGCGTTGGATTTCCCAAATTTTATTACAGTTAAATAAAAAATATATTATATATACATATAAAATGTTATGGGTTTTGGGGTCCGAGGGGATAAGCGGAAACAGAATTCAACCTTGTGGTTATCGGCGTTAAGTTGAAAATGCAGGGTGCACTATTCACAAAAATACGGAGTGTACCCGCAAACTTTTATCACATAAGATGGAAACATGAGGGGATAACTTGTAACATACGGACGTGCGGAAGGAATTAGAAGGGTCTTCCTATGATACTGAACTAGTACCTAGTAACAGTGTAGATACTACCTTTATATTTGGATTTTAACCATATAAAAACCCATATAAACCTTTAATTTATCAGTATTATTTGAATTAAACCCTTGCCAAAAATTTGTTAGAAGAAATAGTACTTAGGCGAATATTTATCAAAATACAGTTAGTATATTAATTAATTTCTGTTTCAAGTAAGCCAATTAAGCATGTTATTAAAATAAATAATGTGTATGTATTTATAAGAAATGCTATTATATTCATATTTTGGATAAAACGGAAAAAAGTTGAAATTCGATTTAAACTTATAATTGTAGTAGGTACGAGACTTTCAGTTTAAAATTTTGTTTTGCCGATCTCTTAAAACTTTTCATAATAGGAAAAGATATATTAAAAAGATACAATGTTTATATTTTTAATTAGAAAAGATGAAATCAGATAAAAAGGTTCAACTTGTTATCTATAGTATTATCTTTTTTCACATTAGATATCTTTTATAAAACGAAATATTAATATGTTTACTCTATAATAACAACAAAATCGCAAATATATTACCAATTACTAAAGTAGCTATGTTTGTTTGTTGACAAAAAAATCGGCTGTAATATATACCTAGGGACGTCGAAATATTTGTTTCAATCAATCTCATTGGTTGACGTCGACAAAACAATCTATGAAATATACAAAGGAACGGAACATGTTCTGTTTAGTATTGGATTATGTAACGTAAAATGTATATACTTACTGCTTATCGCATTTGAAGACGGACAAAGACAAAATTAATCCGAGGAGACAAAAGATATTTCCAGGATAAAAAGATGAGGTTCTTTTAATGCTTCTTTACGGATTTTCAAGTTACTTATCTTTAAATTGCGCCAAGAAAAGGGTCCAGATATATTTATAATCATGTATATGTATATAACTATGAATTTGCTTTTGCAATTACAAAATACGGATTCTAGAATGGTCGTCCCGATACTTAATCTATTAATGGATGATAATTATATAATTATATGAAACAAAAAGCTTATAGATTAAAGTAAGTAGATATTAAATAACATATTTTTACAAACTAAACGTCGTCAGTCGACATGACATGGCCACGCGTCCCTGTTAAAATATACAGCTTCTATAAGTATCGGAAACGTGCTGGGACCACGTGACTAGGACTCCGTTTGACGTCATCGCCGCCATGTTGCTTTATTTTCCTATAGGACTCGAGTTTTCTTTATTTATAGAATTATTAATACGAATAGAGAACATTAATTAAAATACAAATCAACAAATAAATTGAGTTTTAACTGGAATTAATGTTGTTATGTTTTAATATAATTAAATATTAATCACACCTTTGTAACATTTACTTAAAGTGTAAAGACGATAAGGCCTTTGTAGGTGAAGCTTTGTTAATGTATATAAAAGACATGTTAGGAGACAATCGCTTTGACAAACACTTATCTGTTAATACCTTTGTCAGACCGTTGTTGAGTTGATGAGTTATCAAGATGGAACGGTAAAACCTTATTTGTTATTTGGCCCATGTCATGAACAAAATGACATACGTCTTGACACACACGTGTGTACCAATATAAATGCTAATTCTGGACACTGTACTAACATCTTTCCTATATAATACATATTTATTTATTGTATCAATCAAATAATAAACAGGAAATTGAAATCGAATAAAAATAATTTTATTTATATGTAATTAAGTGTAAAATTTATGA